ATTAAAGGCGTGTGCCACCACACCTGGCCTCTTCTTTATTTTAAAAATATTTTATTTATTTTATTTTATGTGTAGAAGTGTATTGCCTGCATGTGCATAACTGCATGTCATGCAGTGCCCGAGGAGGTCAGAAGAGGGTGTTGGAACCCATGGAACTAGAATTATGGATGGTTGTTAGCCACCATGTGGGTGCTGGGACTCCAACCCAAGTCCTCTGCAAGAGCAACCAATGCTCTTATCTGCTCAGCCATCTCTCCAGCCCCTCTTTTGTTTTTTAAAAGTTAAAGGGCATTTTTACCCATCCACATCCATGTTCTCTCTGTACCAGATCCTCCTGGCTGATGTTCCTCTCTTCTTTTTGCTTCCATGCCACAGCTTCCTGTTTTCCTCCTGGTCTCTGACCTCCCTCTCTTTTGCTGATTCCTTTCTATCTATGCATTCCTTAATGTCTATCCATCTGTCTGTCCATCCATCTTTCCTCACTCATTTCACAATCACCTTTGCATCACTGGGGCAGAATAGGAGTGTAGATATGGGAGGGGCAGGCCTGAAGCTAATGGGATGGGTGGAGAGATTAACAAGGACACTTGCAGCCCTGATAATTCCATAGGGAAATAGAAGTTGAGGCAGGACTCCCTGTGCGGATGCTGCAGCTGTCCCAGCCCAAGCTAGTAAAGAAAAGCCATACCCACAGCCTTTTCTGAGGCCACTCTGTATGACTGCTCTTTATCTTTTTAAGACAGAAGTGTGTGTAGCCTAGTCTGGCCTTGAACATGACTTTGAACTCCTGATCCTGATCCTCCAACCTCCATCTCCTAAGTGCTGAAATTATAAGCATTCACCACCATACCCAGCTTACCCTACACAATCTCTTTCCTGTCCCTACAGGTCACCTGAGGGCCCCTCCTTGCCCCTCCAGCCACATTTAGCTAGCTCTACTTCCACATCACCAGGACTCCTGCCTACCCCAATTCCCCAGAAATTCTGTCCCCAGACACTGGACGGGATCAGATCTTGGATTTCAATCTATGTGTTCCTTTCTCTGGGTGGCCCCTTCCTATCCTTTGTGGCCATGAATAGTTCCAGAGCACGAAAGGCTTGCACATTGTGGACAGAGCCACAGCCCTAAGAAGATATCCCTTCTGTTTCTCTACTGCAGGGTGATAAAGGTAGATGAGGGCTTTCCAGAATCTGGGATAGGCAGGCAGAGGTTGAGCAGATACAGTAGGTTCCAGAGTGTTCCTCCACAGACCATTTTTCCAGGCATCAAGCCTGCTTATTTCCTTGACAGTGAAAAGTCAGAAGAGGAACTCTGGCCCCTTCACCACATCCCTGCTGCCTCATGCAGGCCATTGCCCAGACCTAAACTATGGAGAAAGCAGATAAGATCAAGCACTGCACAGAGATAGTAAAGGCCTACCAACCCCAGGTAGAGCCACTTGCTTTGGAATCTGGCCACTCCCAATTCAGAGGATCACCAGCATTTAGTAGCATCAAGTGAAACAGAACAAAAATCCTGGAGGTGAAAGGTGAAACAAATTTATAATTTTAGCTTTTTCTAGTGTTGCATACCTGTAATCCCAGCAATCTGGAGGCTGGGACAGGAGGTTCTAGAGTTCCAGGTCAGTCTGGACAATAAAGCAAGATGCTGTTTCCAAAAATAAAATTGATTTTTTTTCTCTTTCTGGCTAAAGAGCTAAAACACCTCATTTTTTAAATTTAATTTTCCTGTGTTCTATTTTGTATATGTTTGTATGTACACATGTACATGTGGATATGTGTTTGTGCACAGGTGAGCACAAGTGGGAGGAGGCCAGAGAACAGCCTGGGGTGTTATTCCTTAAGAAAAATCCACCTTGTTTTTTGAGACAAGGTTTGTCGTAGGTTGACCTAGACTTAGGCTGGACTATCCAGCCAGTGAGTGGCAGGGGTCTGCCTGTCTCTACCTCCTCAGCACGTGATTAGATGTGCCACTATGCCTAGCTTTTTTACATGTGTTCTTTTTGCATTTTTATGTGGCTTGCTTTCTTTTTTTTTTTTTTAAATAAATGCCAGAATCTAACTCAGGTCTTCATGCCTGTGCAGTGAGCACTTTACCACTGAGCCATTCCCCATAGCCCCTGAGTTCTATTTTATGTTCCAAAATGATGGGCCATTGATATGTAAACTGAGGCTATGTAAGCTGATTCCTGGTAGCCAAAGCAGTATTAAGAGTTAATTCTTGGGGCTGGAGAAATGGTGGTTAAGAGCACTGGCTGCTCTTGCAGAGGCCCGGGTTCGATTCTCAGCACCCACATGATGACTAACAACCATCAGTAACTCTAGCTCCAGGGGATCTGAAGCCCTCTTCTGATCTCCATGCACATTACATGACATGGGTGCACTTACACATATGCAGGCAATACACTGTACACACAAAAGCAAGGCAATAGCTCCTCCTCATTCTTACCAGACCTCTATACTCTCCCATCTTTTTTCACCAAAATCTGCTCAAGAAATGATTAAAAGAAATGGATACCATCCCCACCCCCAGCCTGGCTCAGTGGTACATGCCTTTAGTCCCAGCACTTGGGAGACAGAGACATGTAGATCTCTGGGATCAAGGCCAGCCTGGTCTACATAGCAAGTGCCAGGCCTACAGAGAGACCCTGTCTCAAAAAAAAAAAGAGAGAGAGAGAGAGAGATGGATTTGATCATTATACAATGTATATACAAATTGACACATCATAATGTACCCCATAAATATGTGCCATTATTACAGGCCAATCAAAAACATCACTCTGTGTACACTGAGGCACAGTACAATCATGGAATGGGATAGAGTGGGGTCTTCTTCAGTTCATGGAGATTAACAGTCTATATCTTTCCCCAAAGCTGGCTCTATAATAATATGAAAGCTGGTTTTATGGTAGGTTCTCAATAAACTATAAAATCCCAACAGGCCTTAGCCTAGAGTACGTGGAACCTTCACACCAAAAATTTTCATTTCTGCCGGGCATGGTGGCACATGCCTTTAGTCCTAGCACTTGGGAGGCAGGGGCAGGTGGATCTTTGTGAGTTCAAAGTCAGCCTGGTGTACATAGTGAATTCCAGGCCAGCTGGGGCTACAGGGAGAGCCTATCTCAAAAAGACAAAAAAAAAAAAGGCTTCATTTCCGTTTACTTCTTGGGTCACCACACACATGGCTAACTTAAGTGAGGACTCCCTGTGTGCTCAGTAGCTACCAAAAGTTAAAGTACCATGCTTCTCTTTTGGAGATCCTTAAATAGCCTAAATTCCTCCTTGGTCAGGTCAGAGGGCTGAAACAACAGTTTGCTTAGCATCCTCAAGGGCTAGAAAAATTAGTATTCAAACTAAAGGAAACCAAATTTTTGTCTTTTATTTACAAGTTTTACTTAAATATTCTCCATGGTTAGAAAATCAGTGTCAAATAGGAACATTGGTACACAGCTTAAAATACGAATGCCAGTAATTATTAAAGAACATGATAAATGATTATTCCAAGAAAATGCTGGGTAAAAACTATTTTCCAGGAGGCAAGTTAGACATCAGGAGAGGAAAGGACAGGGCCTCAGGGGGCTCAAGAAATGGTTACACAGCAGCCAACACATGCTTCCCTTAGGTCATACCTGTGACAGCTTACAACAAACTATGCCTTGAGCCTCAAATCCAAAGCTTCAGAAGGCTTTCCTTCTGCACAACACTCAGGTTTCAAGGACAAACCACTTAATGATGAAACAGAAATGGCTCAGTTCCAGAATATTCCAGTTTAACCTGGGAAGTGAAGGCTTCCCAATAGCTGTCAAAAGAAGAGGGGTCACCAGAGACTGATGGGCAAAAGAACTGAACCAGCCTCCTTTGGAATACATTTTGTTGATGCTCTTCTATGTAATAATACTCTTCTTTAACTCAAGTTCGAGTCATTTATATTTTACTATAATTAAAAGCTGTCAAACATAAGTTTTGTCCAGTGTGCCTAAAAGCTAAAAAACCTCTTAGGCCAAATGTAATTCCGGAGAGGAAAAAAATCTATACATTAAAACACCTCAAAGTTTACATTATAATAAATTAGCTTTAATGATACAAATAACATCTCAGAGAATCTTATGAATTTGATCTAACATACATTCAGAGCTTGCATCTTCTCTAGTTTTGTTTCCAAAATCAACAGCACTGTATTATTTACACATAAAAGTGTCTAAATTATGTCAATACCATCAGTTTCTTACCCAAAATCATAAGTACATTATTTTAAGCACCAAGGCATACTTCCTTCAAAAGTTACATCTAAAATATTAAATGGTCAATCTCATTATTTCTTTCAAAGTCTTGAAATTTTAATCTCCCTAAGAACAGAGGGACAAGAGCTTTGGAAGAACTGACAAGGACCACAAATCTCTAAGTTTACTGTCTCAAAGCAGCAGTCCATATTTCAAGGTCACTGCCAGGGAGGCAGACACACTGGCATTTAACCAGAAGGCAATGCTCCCTGGAGTGGTCATGGGAAGAGCTGAGTTCACAGAGAGACAAAGGTAGACAATAAATAGGCCTTCCTTCTCTCTCAGTATATCAACTGGAAAACAGAGACATCTATTAGACAGTGAAAAAACACAGACACACTTGGAGATATAGATGGGACGTCTGTGTTCTATCAACTACAGGATAAGTTACTGAATCAGATACATTTATGACCCATGCTGGGTTCCAAAATAGGATCCAGACACTGTATGCCACTTAAGGCTCCAAGGATACTCCACGGTTTAACTGGCATGAAAAATAAAGGACAAAGGAAATGTCCAGGGAAGTAGAGACTTCCATTCAATCAGCTAGCCTTCATGATAGCACAACGGCAGTGATTCACATTTTTTCCTGAGGCAGGGTCTTACTCTGTAGCATACCCTAGCCTCAAACTCAGGTCCTCCTGCCTCAGTGCCTAAGACTCATTGTTTTTTTTTGAGATAGTGCCTCATATATCCTGGTTGGCCTTGAACTTCCTATGTACCTTAAACTTCTGATCCTCCTGCCTCTACTGCCCAAGCACTGGGATTACTGGCATTAGATACCATGCTTAGTTTACATTTTATATTATCTTTTATTTTTAGGAAATTGAGTTGGGGTCTAATCATTTAGAATAGGCTTAACATGAGGGTTAAGAGAAAGAGGCACTCAAAGGAAAAGAAGACACACCAGAGTATATGGGTGTGGACTTCTCAAAGAGTCACAGAAAGTAAACATGCCCAAATGTGGGTATGGGAACCTCAATGGAGAATCACATTTTGTTTTTGGGTAAACGTGTAAGAGATCAGAAGGAACAGTAATGGTTTCAGAACAAAAGAACCAAGGCTTAAATACCCAAAAGAAAATTTCACATATGAAACCACATCACTAAACAGGTATAATGGAAAATGATTATACCTGTACAGAATGATCCTAATTCTTTTATGAATTTTTTTCCAATTTATTTTGTGTGAGTGCATGCATGTGGAGGTCAGAGGACAGTTTTCAGGAGTTGGTTCTCTCCTTCTACCCATGTGTGGGTCCCAGGAATGGAACTCAGGTTGCAGCCTTTACCCAGTGAGCCATCTCATCAGCCCAGTCCCAACTCTTGACAATGTCACTTGTAAAGCCAAGGAAGCCAAACCTAGTTATCTGCTATTCAGTGGATGGCACTGCAGGTAAGAAGCAAAGAATCAACTAATAGAGTTCACCAACACTGAAGAGTTCTGATGAGGTACAGGAAACTAGAGCTGCCAAGTTTTGAGGGCTAATCCTACAAAAAAATATTTGTTTCCATTTAGGGACACATTTCCTGCTGTTTATATGCCACAGCCACTCATTAGAAGAGGAAACTCATCCCCTAAAAAGGATCCGTGTGGGTTAATTTTCAAGTAAATACAAAGACTTTGCAGCCTCTGAAAACTATGATGAGCTGCATTTGTATTTCTGCCCAACTCTGATACTAACTACGATCTAATTCCTGAAGCAATTTCTCACAGTCAGGGGCAGATGTCCCATCTGATAAATCTCCCTCCTCCTTCCTGCTTCTCAAAATGCAGAAAGAAAGCCTTGGCTCGTGGCTGTTCTTAGGACCTTCGTATTTTCACCTCTAGATTCAGGCTGAACTCTTAAGTCCACAAACCACTGAATAAGCCTGTTCTGCCTAAATGTCCACTACAACTACCATGTGATCACATGCCTCCTGACTTGGAACCTTTAGAAGGCAGAACAAGTGAAAGACTTTCAGTGGCAGCAGAGTGAGGTTCAGCAGCAGAGCAGAGGTAGGATTGTGCCAGATGGAACCAGAGTGTTTGACAGATAGAATCAGAAAGACTAAAAACTATGAATAGCCCCAAGGCTCAGCCAAGCAGGAACATTTTACTAAGTAAAAAAGGCCAGGAATTAGGGATTAGACATAAATTACCTCCTAGTGTGGCTCAAAGGTTTGGGAGTGAGACTCAGTAGAGGAGGCCAAATGCTGCACAATTAAATTCAGCTGGTCCATAGGCCTAGCCCCTCTGAAAAACAGATTAGTCCCAAACTCGCTTACAGTAGGCCTGCCTGCAAGTTTGAGAATTCAGTTTTAAAATTAATTTAGAGCTAAAATGCAATATAACAAAATATCTTCACAGTATTACAAAAAGTCACACGCAAAAAAAAAGTTAGAATATTGCATAGAAAAGTGCCCTGTAGTGTGCTTTGTAAACTGAAGCTTCCATAATTTAAAAAAAAAAAAAGAAAATTTCATAGCCTAGAAGGTGTGTATAACTGTGAGTTCCGAATTACCACATTTGTAGATTTTGAAGTTGGGTCTCAGAAGATCCCAGAGTTCTTTATTCTTAGAATCATGATTAAATTTATCCTCTAAAAGCACAGGATGACACAGTTATACAATGACAGAGACTGTCTTTGTAAAGGACACCAGCTACAAGGGCCTAAGCCAATTCTAGTCTTTAATCTCTGTCCTCTGCATAGGAGTTTACCAGTGCACACCAAGACATAAAAATCACTGCTACTGTTGTTATAACTAGCCCTCCCCCCTCTTCTTGTATTAGTCAATTACTCAGCAACCTCTATCTGCCTATCCTACCAGAAAGGTCTGAATAGCTCACTTAGGAGTAAGTGAAAATGTTTTAAAGGGCAATCATGGTAGCCTTGGCAACAGGATAGGAGACTCTTAACCCCCCTTGTAATAAGTATCAATTGAATCTGAGTTAAAAAACACAACAGTGACAGTGATATCATCCCGGTACATCCTGGCCACGTCCTCTGGCAATGTCAGCATGGCAGCCAGTCGCTCTGGCTCCATCTCCCCATACTCATTGCTCCCGATGGCATGTCTGATCAGATGTGTGGCTGCATTTTGGTCAGCTGCATGGAGTCCACTGGCTTTCCTCTGCAGCAGCAGACTCTGCATGAGTCCCAGGTTGGCCGGCCTTTGGTCCAGGTCTGGCTTGTGGTGACCTACTTTGGACAGGTGCCCCACCATCAGCCTCACCACATCCTCATTGCTCAGCATGTCCCACAAGCCATCTGAGGCCAACACAAGGAACTTATCCTGGGGCCTCAGCCTGTGGTATGTGACCTCAGGTTTGGCAGTCAGATAGGGTGGAGTGTGGTAGTGGGGTGGCGTGAACTGGTAGATGTTGAGGGCCTCAGTGTCAAAGCCCCTCTCTAGGACACTGTGCTGCAACTCTTTACTCCATTTCAGCTGGACATCTCCGAAGGCCCTGCAGGGTATAAGGACCCCCAGCAGCCTATCGTCTATGATGAGTGTCCTGTCCTCTGACTCAGGGTGTTCCCGCTTCAGTCGGGACAGCTCAGCCTCATTCCAGGCATTGTGGTCACAGGTAAGAGGTAAACAGGACCACGTACCATTTTCTTCCTGGACACCAAGGATAGCCCGACAGTCACCAGCATTTGCTACATGCAGGTGAACTCCATTGACATAGGCCATGCAAGCTGTTGCTCCAGAGAAAGCAACCTGGAGGGACAAATTCCTTGTCGCCTCATCTTCCAGGGGAGCCTGAATTTCAAGCGAGATGTCAGAATCCAATCTCTGGAAGGAATACATTAATGCTTCTTCAATGCTGAGCCCCATCTCCATATGCAGGTCAAGCAGTTCCTGACAATAGACACGAAGGTGGTCCAGATGTACTGATGTGACATCCTTATAGATACTGTCCCCTGGGTGCTTGAGCCACTGCAGGATGGGCAGCAGGGGCTTCATGTTTTCCATTCTTCTTCCATCTGCTCCAAGGGACACTGCCATGTAGTAGAAGAGCCTCTCGCTCACTGCTTGCGCACATGCATGGCCACCGTGTCCATCAAAGATGCCAAACATCAGCCCGTTGGTCTGCAGGCAGGAAGCTACACCTTGTCGGTCCTCCACTGGTGAGTTGGCAGCCAGCTGGTTGCTCTCAAACCTCAACACTGAATGTAGGACTCCACTGTTGAAATCAAGAACCTTGTGGGATAATTCACCAGCTCGAAGCACTTCATTGACCTGCTCAGGGCTGAGCTGCAAGTGGAAATCCTCTTCTTCAGTTGATGTGTGTCTGTAGGCTTTCCACAAAGCAAAGTTACCACATGGGGAACTGCTTTTTATAGTGGGCAGTGCAGGAGAAAAGAGTCTCCATTTCAACTGATTCCTATTCGTCACACTCGAGTACAAACGTCTGCCCCCTTGAAATGTAGCAATATAATTCCTTGCAGAATTGAAGATCCAGTAGGACACAGTACTTGACATTCTGAAACTATACTGGCGAGTGGAGTCCTTTTTCAGCCTGAAAATAAGTTTATAAAAGCTTCAAAGTTTCAATTATCAAAAGTACGACTGCTGAAAAACTTGATTTGCTAATATCCTTTCTGCTTTTATAGAGCCAGTAAGGCCCTCCCACCTTGCTCCCAGCTGATCTGATGCTTCCATTTCCTCTCCTTCCCAAATCCTTTCTCAGGCCAGAGCCTACGACCTAGCTCACCTGTAAGCTGTAGCGCCCACGTAGATACCTGCTTCCTCACTACCCTCCATGAATTTAGGAATTACCAACAGCTATTCCTGTGTCCAGCCCCGCACCTGGTACAAAGGCCCTCAAATATTAGTTCACGGTGGCATTTTCAGAGGTGCAGTGGCACACCAGATGTGACACTAGCTATTTAACATCAGACACTGCTTCACTATGTCTGAACACCAGTTACTACCAGTAGGATGGGCATAATATCAGTCTTAGTTTTTATTTTCTTCTTGCTTTATGCAGTACTGAGGATTGAACCCAATGTCTGTTGTGATATATATGAGGTGCTACCCACCACTGAGCTACACCCCCAGTCTCCTATTACTTTCCAAACTTATTCTTAGACAGTCTCATTCAGTTGCCAGACTGGCCTTAAAAATTCAGATCCTCCTGTCTCAGCCTCCAAAGTAGCTGGAACTGCAGCTACCAGTTGCAGTTCTCACAGGTCTTGAGAGGATTTAATAAAATATAACAAGTCCAATAAAAGAAAAAAAAGGTAGAGCTGGGGCATGGTGGCACATGCCTTTAATCCCAGCACTTGGGAGGCAGAGGCAGGCATATCTCTGTGTATTGGAGGCCAGCCTGGTCTCCATAGTGAGTTCCAGGCCAGCTGGGACTACAATGAGACCCTGTCTCAAAAAGACAGAAAGAAAAAAAAAAAGCGTAGTTATTGGGTGTGGTGGCACTTGGGAGACAAAGGCAACCCAGGCTGATATACAAAGTGAGTTCCAGGCCAGTCAGGGCTCTACAGTGAGTCTGGGGTGGGGGAAAAGTTTAAAAAGACAGTTAAGAACTGGGCATGGTGGCCTACACCTTTAATCCCAGCACTTGGGAGGCAGAGGCAGGCAAATCTTGATGAATTCAAGGTCAGCCTGGTCTGCACTGCAAGTTCCAGGTTGGCTGGGGCTACAGGGAGATCCTGTATCAAAGACCCCCCCCCAAATAAAATTTAAAAAACGAAAGGTAGTTAATATTCTTGCCACTGAAGGCATATTCCTCTAGTCATTCTGTGCATGTTTTTTATGGTTGCATCAACCACTTTAAATCTATCTGGCTTCCCTGTTAAAAGCAATGTTTTGGGTGATAATACATTTTATGGATTTTTTTTTTTTCCTTTTTGAGACAGGGTCCCCCTGAAACCCCAGCTGGCCCAGAGATGGATATGTAATAGAGCATTTTGCCATAGACAATCAATTTGTATATCTATTAGCTATTACTGGGGACTTGGAGTTGGCTGCTATTTATTTATCTATTTATTTATTTTTATTTTATGTGTATGCATGTATTTCCTGCATGTAGGTAGGTGCACCCGCGTCGTGCAATGCCCGCGGAAGACGGAAGAGGCTGTCGGATCCCCTGGAGCTGGAGTTATGGACAGTTGTTAGCTGCCATGTGGGGGCTGGGATTTGAACCCAGGTCTTCTGCAAGAACAACCAGTGTTCTTAACCGCTGAGATCTCTCTCCAGCCCCTAGCCTGCTATTTATTAAACACCATTATTGCGCGGCCACCAAACTGCCTGGCCTTGTGCAGCAACCTTTCTTTGCTTACTTCCAAAATCAGTAGGTCAAAGGTGTATATTCACTGTGAAACTGTTTCCCAAAACCAGTGAGGATCATCGTCCTTTACCCACGGCACAGAACTTGGGGCAGATGAGGTCAGGGGCACTGAAAGCCTGCCTCGGACGCCCTTTGACCCTGGGAGAGAGGGCAGGCCACCGTGCGCGACAAAAACAGTTTCCTGCAGCCGGGACAAAATTTAGCCTTCCGAAAGAAAATAAGTCTGAAGTTCAAGGGTACAACCACAGCCTCCTAGGTAAAGGCACAGGATCCGTCGTTTACCAAACTCGGTCTCCCCTAAAACCTGGCGCAGCCACATTCTAGCCAGGAGTGGTGACACCCGGTTAGGGTCTCTGAACCGCGGCTTTCCAGGTGGTGCACAGGCGCACAGCGCGCCGTCCAGCTCGGGAGGCTGACCAGGGCAACGCATCCAGTGCAGGGGACGCGCCGCGCCGCAGCCTCCCCCACCACCGCGCCGGCCCACGTGGCGCGTGCGCGCAAGTGGGGTGACCAGGCCTGGGGCCCCGCTCGGCCCGCCCTCTCACCTCATCTCCTCTACGTTCTCCGCCCCTTCACCTGAGCTGGTGCGTCGGGCGGAGGAGCGCCAGGCGTCGGCGGGGTCCGCCGCAGCGAAGTCCACGCCCCACCCCCGGTCCACTTTCTTACCTCCGACCCTCACCCTCTGTTCACCAGCTCGCGCCGCTGGCACTCGGCGAATTCCCTCAGCCCCGCGCCGGCGAAGAGTTTGCGGCTGCAGCTGCCCGGATTTTACTTCTCTGGACAGGCCCCCGGACGAGGAACAAGCTCGCCAAGAAAGCTCCCTCCCGCCATTCCTGATTGGCTTATCTACGAAGGCGGGCCCTTGATGGACATCCGTGTTACCCAATGGATGACGAGAGCAAGAGGACGGCAGAGAGGAGGGGCCAGCACCGCCCTGCACCCTTCCCCTCCCGTTACCGTAGTGTTAGAGCTGTAGCCGCCAGATCAGGCTGTCACGTGGCTGTGCCCCCAGCTGGCGTTTTCGCAACACCCTGCCAGCCTGGAACCTACAGACCTCTAATTCCGTACTGTCGTTATATCCCGCACAAATTCTTCCCCAATTTTGTGCGGATCTCTCTAGGCTACTCTCCTACATGCCACGCCCTTATTTTCATCCACCTGGATATCACCTGCCTGGAAGGCTTAGTGGAGGACTCAAGCATAATTTGCCCTGACCTTATTTTCCTGCTAAACCTGTTCGTCCTAACCAGTAATGGCCTCGCTGGCACACAGAGAACCAAGCCCAAAGCTGTGGGGTCAATTTGATGCCTCTCTGACTTTTCCCACACCTCTTCCACTTATCATTTCTAGCTCCTAAATACCTCCCCATCCTTTTGTTTGTGGACGTCCTATTCCAAGCCCCGCCTCCCGCTGCCAACTTCTACTGGTCCTATCCCTCCTCTACAGAGGAGCCAGGATGACCCTTCTAAAACTCAAATTTCTGACCCAATGTGTTCATTGGCTCCTTAGTTGCCACTGCTTTGAATTCACAATTCTATTGGCCCATCACTGACAAGGAATGTTCGCTCTCATTGTTACTTGGAAAAGGCAAAGGACCAGAACAACAGATGCTCCCTGTGTCCCTTCCGGCCCAAACAGTGTCAGAGGTCAGTCACCGCCTATATCCTTATAAATTACTTTGTTTTCAACTGAGTGTGGTGGCCCTTGCCTTTAAACCCAGCACTAATCCCAGCACTGGGGAGGCAGAAGCAGGCAGATTTCTGAGAGTTCAAGGCCAACCTGTCTCCATATTCCAAGCTAGCCAGGGTTACAATAACAGGACTCTGTCTAAAAAAAAAAAAAAAACACAGAGATCTACCTCTCAAGGGCTCTCAAGGGCTGAGATTAAAAAGGCAAGTGCCTTATTTTTTGTTATGGGTCTAGTTTCATTTTGTTTTGCTTTTGTGATACTGAATATTGAACCTAGGACCTCCTACACATTACTCTCCCACTGAGATATATCCCCTCTTCTCTCAATATTGTGAAACAGGGTTTCACCAAGTTGCCCAGGCAGACCTTGAACTTGTAATCCTCCTGCCTCAGCCTCAAGAGCAGCTGGGATTAAAGATCTGTACCACCAGGCAGAGCCCTTTCAAGAAGTTCTAAGTCAGAATTTGTAATCTTCTCTTCCTGGACATTGAGAGGGCTTTTTCAGATCCATACTAAAAATAGCTCTAATTAAATAGACTTGAGAGAACTGGGAAGCACACTTTTGATTTTATTTGTTTTACAAATAGTTCATTTGAGCTTGTAGAGGGGTTATTTTTCAGGACAAATACAGCAGTCTACAATGTGACTGGCCCTGAGCTAACTCTTAGAGAAACATCAACGCCACTACCACTTTCCTGAGAAAAATTACATCATTCTACTAAGTCTGAAACCACAGTTTTTCTTTTCTTCTTATAAAAAAATATGGTGGGTGTGGTGGTGCATGCCTTTAATCCCAGCACTCAGGAGGCAGAGGCAAGCAGATCTGTTGAGAGAGATCAAAGTCAGTCTGGTCTACATAGAAAAAGCCAAGCCAGGGCTATAAAGTTAAGACTCTGTCAAAATAAAAATTATTTGTGTGTGTGTGTGTGTGTGTGTATGTGTGTGTGTGTTATTGGGACTTGAGCCTATGGCCTCTCACATGCTAAACCAATGCTCCATCACTACATAATATTCCCAGCAAGTTTTTCTAAGTTACCATATATCCCTACTTCCAAAGTAAAAATACACCTTTAAGAATATGGTGCTCATTACAACATTCACTTCAAAAGCTACAAGTATATCTGTGACTGATTATGATCAGCAACCCAAGTTCCCTGTGAGGTCTCCCAAGGTTTCCTTGTCCCCAACTCTTACAAGGAACAAATGAAGGAAGAGGATTTATATTCCTTTCAGAAAGGAAAAGCACAGATCAACTGGCACTTTTAGAGAAAATACGGAACAACCTTCAGCCTCACTCAAAACCAAACAAATGTGAATTAAAAACAGCTATTGTTGTTTACCAAACAACCTGACAACTATTAAATCCTAATTTAGTGAGCCAGGCATGGTGAAGCGCACCTGTAATCCCAGCACTTGGAAAGTGAGGGCAGAGCATGAGTTTGAGTCAGCAAGTGGGAATGCAAATTGAGACATACTTTTGATCCACTAAGTCCTCTACTTTTTATAAGTGCCTAGAAACTGTTTTGCTGAAAAGCACTGACTCCCCGCACCGGTCCACAAGATAACTAAAATCAGATTTAAAGCCTACCATCCCTGAATTCATTTTTGCATCTGTCTCCTTGTCTTAAAACTTTGGTTCAAGTCAGGCATGGTGGCGCACATCTTTAATCCCAGCACTCAGGAGGCAGAGGCAGGTGGATCTCTGTGAGTTCAAGGCCAGTCTGGTCTACATCGTGAGTTCCAGGCCAGCTGGAGCTACAGAGAGACCCTATCTCAAAAACAACAACAACAACAACAAAAAGAACTTTGGTTCAAATCCTTAACTCTGCACACAGCCATGCTAAACACTCAAGGCATGCCTGTCTAAATACTGTGATACCAAGCAAAATGTTGAGGTACATGCCAGTAATCCCAGCATTTGGGAGTCTGCAGCAAGGGGATCATGAATTTGAGGCCAATTTGGGCTACATAGCAGGACTCTGTGTCAAAAACGAAACAGCAAATGAAAAGAAACGAAGCAGAACAAAACAAAATCAGCCTGGTGGTACCTAACCAATTTCATCCCCCTTTCAAGTCTGAAGGAACCAAAATAAAAGTAACTGAAGCTTCTTACCGTCAGTTTTTTACCATGTCTTGTTCCAGACCTCCAAAAAGTTACCTGAAAGTCTCTAAGTCAATATCCTAAACCTACATTCATCTTGGATTCTAGTACTAGCACAGCCTCACAGATAAATCACCCCAAGATGAGATCACCACAAAGCAGAGACAGTTATCTCAGGGGAATCAGATTATCCCCTTAAACTCTAGGGATTTCTGAACACCTTGCAGAACCAGAACTGACACAATGATCAACCAGAGAAACCTGGACCAGAGTTGATTATTTATGCAGTCCTCTTGCCCCCTGCTCCAATTCTTCCTTTATTTAAAGCTCCTGTAAGTACTGAAGATGGACTAAAATACCTACTTTCCATCTGTGGGGGTTTGAATGAGAAACGTCCCTTATAGACTCAAATATTTGAACCCTCATCCCCAGTTGGTGGCACTGTTGGAAGGTCATGGGATTTCTAGAAAGTGTTAGTCTTGTTGGAGGAAGTGCATCGCTGGGGGGTAGGCTTTGCCAGTTCATAACCTTGTCCATTTCCGGTTTGAGCTCTGTTTTTGTGTTTGCTGTTAGAGATACGAGTTCTCAGTTTCCTGGGTATTTCTTCCATAAGTTGCTTTTGCAATGGTGTTTTATCACAATTACAGAAGTGAGTAAAACATTTTCTTCACAACATGGCTGTGTTTATTAAAATCCTTTCCTGCGCATTCTCATTAATTCTGTTTGCTGTCTTCACGGTGCGTGGTCAGACAAGTTGGAGCCTCTGGAGTTAGGCCTGTAGCCTAGACTCTGGCTATATTTTCAGTTTGTACTAAAGAGACAAAAAAGTGAACCTGGATTTTTCCAGGGCCACCAGGACTGGAATGTTAACTCAGAACAAGCAAGCCATTGACAATATATACATACTAAGCCACTTATCATGTATTTATACATGCAGATTCTGTTCTGCAGTGTGGAATACCTGAGGCCATGTCCATGAAGTCTAGTTGATCCATTGGTTATCTGGAAGTTCACTAATTCTTCATGTCATCATATGCCCCAAGTGACCTGCCCCTGGAGTCCAACTGCCAGGGGCCAGTACATGTTCACTTCCGGTGCCACTTGCCCACCTGTAGTCTCCACAAATTAAAATTTTTCTTCCATAAACATATATTACCAGAGCCAAAGATGGTGGCACATACCTGTAATCCGAGGGAAATAGATGCATGGGGATCAGAGTTCAAGGTCATACTCAACCACATGAGACCTTATTCAATCAATAAACAAATGTATTACACACACACACACACACACACACACACACAGAGAGAGAGAGAGAGAGAGAGAGAGAGAGTCCCATTTGACATAACTTGTATAATCAGAAAAAAGAAAAACTGTATTTTAAAACCAAAGGACAAAGCTGGAAATGTAGCTCAATCAGTAGAGTGCTTGCCTAGCAAGCATGAGGCCCTGGGATTAATCTCAGTTTAAGATCAGGAGTGACCTACCTGTAATCCTAGCACTCTGGAAGAAGAGGCAGAAGGAACAGGGGTTCGGGTTCATTCTTGGCTACAAAGGAAGCCCAAGGCCAGCCTGGACTCATGAGACTCTGTTTCAAAAACACCCAGTATAAGCTAGAGGAGTTAGCAGAGTAAAAAGGCTGGATTTCTGGAATGATTCCAGCAAAGTCTCCTGATTACTTAGCTACAGAGACAAGATTTTCTGTTAGGAAAACTGGATTTGACGTCAGTCTTATACCAGAAGGACCTGAGTTTGTTTCTGCCAAAATTACAACATCAGTCCTGATAATCTGAGAGAATTCGTAAAAGCTTTAGATGTCTTTATCCTTTGCCAATTAGCAGAAGAGTTTAGCCTTGCAGCAGCATTCTTGCTTCCCAGGGCATTTAACTTTGTCTTTCTGTTTTGCAAGTTCACTCAGGCATTGTAAAGCTGTTTCCAAATGAGAGGATTTCAGGGCATTTAGCTTACGTTACTCCTAAAAACTTTGAACATATACCTAATCCTACAGTTTTATAATTATTTTTAAACTA